TTCTTGATATAAAATTCTTTCTTATCCATCTATGAGTGCCGCCCAATTTTCTTTTTTTATAAAACCCAGTCTAACGCACATGTACTTCCAGAAGAATGGGCAAATCTGTATTGGAAGCACTGCCAGAAGGTTCTTTAAAAGCAAGGATGACAAGACTTTGTTTTACCTTCTTTGAACATGTCGTTAGAAGGGACCAGCCCCTAGAGAAGGGGATCATACTTGGTCAGTGAAAAAGAGGAAGACCCTTAATGAGGTGGGTGACACAGTGGCAGCAACAGTTGGATCCATCGGAGAAACAACTGTGAGGATGATGCAGAGTTGGGCAGTGATAATTCATTCTGTTACACACGTGCTCACAATGAGTCAAAATGATTTGCTGGCACCTAACACTTAAGTTGACTTGAGGCAGAACCCAATCCGGATAACAGTGTGTTTAATCACATTTTTTCAAAAGTACTAGGACTCCCTGGAACGCTTAAAAGAGGACTCAATCCATTTGGTATCTCCCAATGCTCCTTTTAAGGAGCCCTGGTGGCATCGAGGGTTATACCCGGGGCAGCTAACCACATGGCCTCTGCAGGAGCAAGATGAGTTTCTACTCCCGTGAGGACTTTCAGGCTCCTAAACCCAAAGGGGCAGTTCTCTGTCCTACAGAGCCACTACGTTGGCGTCCACTCGATGGCAGTGAATTTGGTTTGGCTGGTATTCCTCCTTTTAGCTAGCAGGTGTACAGACATGATGGCTGCAGATTAAACAGCTACAATGGACCATGAGGTGGCATTGAACTCAAGAGCTGGCACTAGGCCAGCGGAAGAGAAAAGTTGGAAAGTGACTGGACCGAACAAGAAAGCTGCTGCCCAGGCCTGGATGGTCTTCTTCAGACTTCTTGGCCCTTTGGGTCTTCTGTTATATTCAGTAGACCTCAGTCCTAACTGATGGTGAGTGACGAGACTCTTGGCAGAACACCAAGAAAAAACAGGCTGCCCCTACAGCTGCTTAAGCATTTCCTGACTAGTGGGAACTAATTCTGGTCAAAGCGCTCTCATAGTAGTAAATGGAGCAACATCCCAGAGCATGTCACTCACTGCATGGTACACCCAGTCTGATGGGGGCATAGGAAAAAATTACTGCGGATCTGCACTCCTCAGACTGCAGCCTACTGTTACAGATTCATTTGTGCCCCGCTTGTGGAGTGGGTGGGGGCATGTGTTGTTAATCCTAAACTGTACATAATCTGTAGTTGACTATAACCTGTAGTTATATTTGGGAATAAGTTTTCTTTGTTATGTTAATGAACCAATATTCATGTTGAGTGTGTCTTAAGAGAATCTCTTCTGTTTGTTCATTCATTAGATGTACAACAGAAACGTGGGTGAAGGGAGACAGCGGATGGTGTAAAACATGAACATAAAAATCATTTATCAATTATCAAGGGTACACGAGGGAGGAAAGGTGGGAGAGGGAGGGAAAGAGAAGCTGATATCAAGTAGCAAGAACATGCTTTGAAAATGCTGATGGCAACCTATGTATAAATGTACTTGAGACAAGTGATGTATGGATGGTGATAAGATCTATAAGAGCCCCTAATAAAATGATTTATTTTTTAAAAAAGATAATCTCTTGAGATATATGAGATTAAACAAGCGAAGGAGCAAGAGACAAGAGCAGAGAGATGCCAAGGCCCATGAGGGGTGCCCGTAAACAAGCTCAAAGGGGACAAAGAAACAAGGACCTTCTCCCAGAACCGAGGGAGAAAAGGCCTTCCCTGAGAACCAGTGCCCCGAATTTGGGCTTTCAGCCCCTCAATGGTGTGGAAGTCAATCTGTTAAAGCCATCTACTTGTGATAGTTTTGTTGCAATACCACTTGATCACCAAACTCGGTGTAAAAATGCAGCTTCTGACCCAGGAGTGACCGGGAAGGGGGAAACCTGAGATTCTGCCGCTCCAGCAAGGCCTAGGTGATGCTGACACTAGTGATCTGTGGACTGCACTCTAAGTCAAAAGGTTGTGGATTTGAAACCAAGCAGGGGAGCAAAAATGCAGACAGCTAGACCAGAGACCAAGACAATAGTTCTCTTGTGTAACTTAGTTGGACTAGAGTTTAGAGAAATTACTCAAATCAAGCCTGCTCGCTTAATAAAACTTGTACACTATCTTAAAAAGATACTGCCTCAGAGATCTTTGATTATTAACCAAGGATGGAAATCCTCTTGTCCTCAGGCAGAGTACCTTAGAAAGTAGATAGCCTCCTCCCCTCTTCAGTCAGCCCAGGCAAGGGCAGTCCCTCTTAAGAGCCTGCCTGGGGTTGGACTTGGTCTTATGCAAATAAAACTGGGATTAAACAATTAAAAAAAAAAGAGCCTGCCTGGGTGTGTCCTTGATGGAGATCACTGTACTGGGGACAGTACAGGGGGATGCATAGTCATGAGGCACACCCTGTCAGTTTTGCCCTGACTGCCTTGGCTGGAAGGCCCTGGACCAATCTTGTAAACCCTTACATCTAACATAATATGCATGTCCCAATCGCGGCCCTGTTCTGGCTTCTGTAGTCCCACCTCTAACTGCCACCAGTCATGAATGTGTGAAGTTGCTGCCATGGAGGGTTCTTTCCCCAGTCCAGGGTAAAGCTGGAAAACAATATTGTTTTGGAACATTTTGTGTGTTTTCAGATGTTAAAATAAGGCAATTGTTTCCCAAAGAGCTCTGCTCACTTCTCACCAGCGTTTTGGGGCTGCTCACCACAGGGTCACCAGCTCAAACCGCCAGGGGCTCTGCAGGAGAAAGATGGTTTTTCTACTTCTGGAATGATTGCAGCCTCAGAAATCCACAGGGGCAGCTCGGCCCTGCTCTATAGGGACAGAGTCAGAATTTAGTGGAATATGTATGTAATATTGAGATTGTACTGCGTTAACTGTTGTTGCCGGGATTTTTATGCCTGTTTGGGGTGGTTTCACCCAAGAACGATGGGGGATCGGTACCAGTTCTCCTGCTGACACTTGGTGAGATCGAATGCTTTTTCTCCTGCGGTGGGAACTGGCATTCCATTACCAAGGATCTTTAGAGTATCAGTGGCCACGTTTCAGTCATTTTAAATAGGTTAACAGAAGCAGTTTAACATTATGTGCTACTTTTGAAGATTTGTGCTGTTCTGAGACCATCATGCAGTTATTCTTCATAACAGGAAATATCACCAGGGAATACTCAGGCAGGTGAGTGACCTTACACATTGCCAGAATCAGGCATTTGACCTTCACGCAAGATGGCGCAATACCTGAAATCACTTTTGCCTTGTTTGGGCTAGAAATGGCGGATGGGAATCTACCATGGACTTATCTCTCAACCTTCAAACAAAAACGAAACTCACTGCCATTGAGTCAATGCTGATTCATAGTGAGCCCTGTGGGTTTCTGAGACTGTTTAAGGGAGTGGAAAGCAGTCTTTCTCCCAAGGAGCTGCTGGTAGTTTCCAATTGCTGACCACACAGATCCTAGGCCAACGTGTAACCACTACATCACCAGGGGCCCCTTAAGAGCTATCTAGTTTGAGTTTTTCTTCTGATCCTGCCATTAACTGCCCTTTTTCTAATTTTTGATACCACTTCTAGGTGTATGATAAATTTACTTTGAAACTTTTAACTGATGAACTACTATAAACTTAACTTTGATACAAAGTCTTTCTAAGCAAAAAGTATGTGTAGTTCTTACCTCTAGACAGTAATATTAAAAATGTGTACTTTTAAGAATTCTTACTTTGGTACATCCTTGTGAAGTATTTTAATATTATGAAGAATCAATGAAATAGTCCACTTGACAGGGTTTTGTATGCTTATATCAACTTAAGAATCTAGACTTTGATAAATGACCGGACGTCTCGGGATTAAGGAAAAACCGTTTTTCCACTTTGCTCAGGCTGTGCTAGTTCACACGTGCCAATTATGAGTTAATTCTCACCCATTGCAAGTAGACGTGGCAGGTGGCGCAGCGAGTGAAGAGCTGGGCTATGAACCCAAACCTGGAAATTCAAGCAGAGGGGCTGCTAGCAAAAAGGCCAGCCAGTTGAGTATTACTATCTCAGAAACCCTGCAAAGCAGTTTCTGCTCTATCCGAGGCTGCTATAGCCAAATGCAGAGATTTTAAAGAATCTAACAAAGCTGAATAAGAAATTAGAAAAAGCTGAAAACTTGTTTAATATTAAAAGGTTTTGAGATGCGTAAGAATGTTTGAAAAGCTCATTAATGACAAATCTATTTGATTAAGTTTTTTCAGGAGGGACATTAAGTAGTACTAGTAGATAATTTTACTCGTTTTCGATCTCTGAACACAGGGCTCCCAGGTAAAGGGTCGACTAGACTTCCGAAATCACTAATCTTTTGGAAGGTGGATGCTCCAGCATGTCTCACACCCTGACAAATCAGTACCTCATGGGAAGTCCTGGAACCTAAACCTACTTATTTTGTAGATAACGCAACTGCCTGCCATGTTCCTCACCTCAGCATTCATGGAAATGGTTATTTTTCCATGAATTTTTACCTTGCTCTGGAAGTCGTGGTATGTGGGTAAGTTGGCCTGGAGGATCATCTAGCACAGTGGTTTCTCAACCTCCCTTAAGCCGAGACCCTTTCATACAGTTCACATTGTGGTGGCCCTACCAAGAAATTATTCTCGTTGCTACTTAACTGTAAATTTACTGTTATGAACAGTCACGTAAATATCTGGTATGTATTACGTGACCCCTGTGAAAGGGTTGGTGGATCCCCAAAGGGGTCGAGACCCACAGGTTGAGAACCGCTGATTTAGGACTATTCTACCCACAGGGCCATTAAGACACCCAAGATTGTCTGACCTTCATGTTACTTTTATCTGGTTGCTATAGTATTTAACTGACTCTGCGCATGTAACAAATTCTTTTTTGAAGTACAGAGCTAACAATCTCACTATGAATCTACCTGTTAATCCCACCCCAGCGACAGGCTTCATGGAGTTATAGGGTGCAGGCTTTGTCAGCTTGGCCAATAGAAACTTTATTACTTTTTATAACAGCGTGTTATGCTTTCTTGCCAGTTGCCTTTGGGGCAGGTGTTTTCTGGGCTGGAGCTTTCTGGGCTTTCGGAGGCCCAGCCTTCTGACCTGCAGCTTTCTCCTTCTGGGCGGGAGCCTTCTCTTTTTGAGCAGGAGCTTTCTCCTTCTGGGCAGGAGCCTTCTTGCCGGCGGTGGCGGCAGCAGCCCCCTTCTTAGCTGGAACCTTTGCAGCAGCAGCAGCAGCCGCTCCCTTCGCAGCACTTGCTTTTTTGGGAGAAGCCTTCAGGAGAGCCGCCCTTTGAAGCTTCTTAACCTCATACTTTATTAGCCGGTTCCTCTGAAAGATGTCAAAGAAAACACTTGTAGTAGCCATATTTTCTTTTTAAAAGCTTACACCACTGACTTTTAAGTGGAACTATGTATTTGTATAAAATTTAACATTATACAACATTTGACTCCTTGGGTCTCACTTATCCTTAAGGGCTGCTTAGTGTAATAAGTAGGACAATCTGCTGCATTTCTTGTTTTTACATTTGAGGCTAACTCTTGACTATGTTTATATGTATTACTAAAGTAATGCTTTCATGAAATTAATCCAATTTACTGGAATAAATCAATCTATGTTTGCTTCACATTGATGAGTAGCCACAGAGATAGGTATACCACAGAGAATTTTCAATTAGAAGACTTAGAAAAAATGAATGTGGATATAGATATTTGGCTTATTAAAAGGATAAAAGTCAGTATGTTTCTTTTTGTTGAGGAGATGCAAATGTGTCAAAATAAGGCTTTCTGTAAACCTAGTGTTAAAACATTTGTCCACCAAAAAATTTAAGTGACAAGTTATAGAAAATTTTTCCTTAAAGAGCATTAGCTAGTCTTCCTGTACATTAGAAAAAAAACAGCTTATTTTAAACCATTTCAGACATACAATGCACGCATCATACACTTCAACCACATTCTTCAAAGAGTTGTTTAACCACAGGTACAAATCAGTTGCAGTACATTTCCTCCTCCTTAGTCTGGATTGGTTTTAATCAATCTGGGAATGACCATCTGGTTGATTGGCTATTGATATTGCCACAAATTTACTTTTGACAAGAGTGTGTATGTAACCTTACCATTTTCTTTGCCTTCATGACTTTAAAACGATCAAAATCTGTCATCTTGGCTTTCTGTAAAACGAAAGAAAAAAATTATCCTTCTGGCACCACCCTCCCTCTCTAAGAAAGAAAACATCAGAATCAGTCTAGAATCCCAAGCCATTACCTTTTCTCTGGCTTCAATCTTTTTGGCCCATCTTGTGGCTGCCCATTTTGTATTGATATCCGCCTTCTGCCAGGCTTGTCGGACATACTTCTGTCGGGCACTAGGAAGCCAGGACCACAGATAAAGGAAATCAGCTGGACGATTTTAATCAACTGCAAACCAGTCCATTTTATGGACCTGAAAATCACCAGACCAGGTACCTAATACCACCACGCAATAGTTCATGTGTAGAAAACCATTACTATTGGGCATTACTTTTTCACTGTATCTATCAAATCTTGTAAGCTGTGCAAATATACTAAATTCCACTTAGGATTGTCAGACTGAAGACAGAATCTGATGAGGCATCTGTAAGAATGCTCTGAAGAGCAGCAGAAACAACTCTGCTGCCATGAACCCTGACGAGCAACCTCTAGAGCAGGGTGTCCAACTCACAACGCAGGCCATCTGGTGCAACAGGCAAGATGCACGCGGACCACATCACTTACAAATTTTGTTAAATTTATATTTTGAAGTGAGGATTCAAGAATATGGAAAGGATGATTAACACATGATACAATTACTTTTATTTAAACACTTATTTTATTTAATATATTTATAAAACTAAAATTAATTTTTTTTACCCGAAACTTGCCCGTTTCCTCCTACTGAGAACAGACAATCTTCATTAAGGCAGACAGATGTTCTCAGTTGATCTGTGTGCCATTTTATTTAATTTCATGGATAACAAGTTGCTCACACAATGGCTTCCCTCTAAGAAATGTTAACTAGCGCTGCCGCTAGGTATGATTCATAACAGCACAACCCAAAGAGTGCTCTTTTTAACCTTTGCGCTATTGGGATGTTTACATTAAGTGACACTGAGAATGACAGACACATCGTCTCCAAACGTCACTGAAGCACGTTTATACACGTCCACAGGTCCCCAGGAAAGGCACTGGGCACGTGTATAATCACTCATCTTCAGTAGCTAAAGGGTTAACAAGGGAAATGTGTGTATGGTATTGCCTCAATCGCCCCTCAGTGCTAATTTCTTCATATTTTTTTTCTATTTTCATTTTACTTCAGAGCCACCGCGGGCCACAAAAAATTACCTCAGGTGCTGCATGCATGCGGCCAATGGGCCGCCAGTTTGACAACCCTGCTCTAGAACAATCCCTGGCCACTCCAACAAAATGTACTAAGGCTGTCCTTGGACCCATGGTAACTGGACTTGACAAATAAGGTCCAGGATCTTAATTGTTACCAATGGCCAGCAGCAACAGATGCACAATTTGCTAATTAATAGATACGAAAGTCATATACATGTTCACCCACACAGGGGGCAGGTCTTCTAGTGGTGCTGGGACGATGGGCAGCCAATTTTGGTACAACCTATGATGGCTTTGGAAGATAATCTGTTGACACTAGCATTCCAAAAATGCACACTAGTCCCAACAAGCGTAATTTGCATAGCTTCTCCAGCAGCACTGATGTAATCACGCAATTCAGATAGTTTTTAAGTAAAAAGCTATTCAAACAGCTGTTTTTGAATGCCTATGGTATGTGCACATCCACACACATGCACCAAGTACCACAATTGTCCCAGTTTTAGTGTAGGAAAAAAAACAAACTTCCCCCCTCCCCTTTCCCTATTCTACCCACCCGATAACCATGAATTTCTATATACTTGCTTATTCTAGGTATCTCACATAAGAGGGATCGTATATTGGTCCTCTGTGACTGGCATTTTTGACTTAGTATGCTTCCAAGGTTCTTTCATGTTGTACCATGTATGAGTGTAATTTCTCTTTATGGCTAAGTAACATTTCGTCACACGTATGCACCTATCCATACTGTTAATGTCCATTTACTTAAGATGCTAGGATCATATGATGACTGTGCTTTTGGAGGAATTGTGCCTGTAGTTTATATTTCCATCAGCAATGCATGAGTGTCCCAATCTCTCCACATCCCCACCCACCCTATTTTTATGTACCTCTTGGCCACTGATGTGTTTTCATTGCCCTTCACCGTGTTAAAAAAAAGCCCAAACAACCAACTTTACTTCTCATGGCTTACATAGGGGCTGTCATCATCAACTAAATGATAACTATTACTTAAATAGCAGCAGAAAATATATTGGTAATGGCTATACATGACTGAGGCGCTTCAAAGTCACTTAACTGTGTAAGGAAATAATGCTGCATTGCCCAATGTTCCAATAGATATTATTTACAGTAGTAACTAAGACACCAGAATTTATTGGTGTGGACTTTTTTGTCTGAAATTCTGAAAAGGGGGACCAGAAGAGAATAGTCAGGGAACTATCCAAAGAAAGTGATTTTAAATGTAAATAACACCTGTTCTCCACTTCTACAATCTAAGCTTATTCTGACTCAATTTCATCATCTGTCCGTAGTGTTTACTGTATTTAATAACAACGAAAACCCATCCCAGGCATTACCTGTGTGGGAACTTGAGGATGAAGTCAGTGAGCTGCATGCATTTGAAAGGCATGGCCTGCCTCCTTACTTGAGTGCAAGGGCCATCAACCAAAGCCTACAACACAACAGCAAACAAAAATGGACAGATATTCTGAATAATGTCTTTTCAGCATCATTAAATCTCTACTACTATTCCCAGGGACTGCTCAGAAAAAGGAAGCTCGTCCTATTTTGGGGGTGGACTTCAATCACTACATACATTCTAGCTCTTGTTTTAAAGTACCAGCACACCATATAAACCAATGACACACAGTGCACATCTCTTTGACAACTTTAATCCTTACATTTCCAAACAGCGTGATGTTCACTCACAGCCTTCATGGACTTCCTCCCAATATAATCAGCAAGCACAAAGCACTTTGCTTTGAACACTTCTAAAAGCTAAAACTTCACATACCGTAACTTATTTAAGCCGCAATATTTTAGCACCTAATTGGTGAGATCTTCCAGATTAATTTTCAAACCAAGTAGTTCTGGCTGGTCCAAATCGGTTCCACTGTTTCTAGATTGGCAACGTAAAACGACCCAAGAGTCCTCCCACCGTTCACCGGATAAAATAGGCGTTACCATATTATTTATTCATACTTACCCGGTTCTGATCGATCACATCTACAATCGCGACCAGTTTCCCGGCATGAGGTCCAAAGGAGATGTAGGCCACCCGGCCAACCTCCACGAAGCGCCTGAACACCTAGGACGTAGAGGAGGCCGCGAGACTTAGTCAGGATGCACGCACACTGGTCCGATTCCGCGGGCCGCAGCGAGCGTGACTACCGAGCGAAGCACCAGGTACCGCGGGGGAGCTTCGCTGGCACCGGGGCAAAGCGGGGCGGAAGCCGGCACGGGCGGGGGGAGAGCCTGGGCCTCGTCGGCCGGCGACCGCCGGGGTGAAGCCCCCCGTGGCCCCTCTTGCGCTCGGCGGGGCCAGCCGGCCACCCCGCGCCTCCCTCAGCCACCCCAGGCCGGCGGCGCGCACGCGCGGCCCAGGGCGCGCCGGGCCCTCCACGCGCTCCACAGCCTGCGGGCCGCGGTGCCTGGGAGAGCCCGAACCCCGCGCGACGCCCGCCGGGAACGCTCCCCACGCGTTTCCCGGAATGGCCGGCACCCCACTCGGCACCTCAGCACCCTGGCCGAGGAGGGGACCGAGGGGAATGGCCGCCAGGGCCGGAGGCCGCGGCAGCCGTACTCACCATCTTGGCGGCGTTCGGCGAGAAGGAAGAAGGCCCGCCCGGCGGTGCGCATGTGTAGACGGCAGGCCCCGCCCCTCCGCCCGCGAGCCGTCGACGTGAGCCCGGATTGGTTGGCGGGGGCGCGCGTGCGCGGACGCACGCCCACGGGAGAACGTGGCGGAGGCGGCCGAGTGGTGGCTGTTACGCACAGCCGTGGAGTGAAATTGATTATGGGGATCCGAAACGCCGTGGGACTGCTCATCTCTCTGGAAGCCAGGTTGACGATAAAGGCAGAGAAGCTAGTAGCTTCCCTAGTATACTCTGTTCGTATCCTAGTTGAATTCCTCTCTAATAGTCATCCTCACTTGTTCCTTACGACTTAAGTCGCCCCCCGCCCCAGTGTCACCCAAATGACTCCAGTCATTTTGTTTATCCTTTCACTTTAAAGTAATTCAGAGTTACGGAAAATCCGCAAGACTACTGAAGTAATTCCCATAAATCTTTCTTTAAGAGTCTCATGTTAACATGATACCGTATTTCCTTTACCATTCCCTCTTCCCCCCTACATACAGTAAACTGTAGACATGACGTCTATGTTTAGCACTTTAAAGTAAATTTCCTAAAACAAGGCTATTCTTTTACATACAGTGTTGCTAGCTGCTGTCCAGTAGCCTCGGTCATAGTTCATATAACAGTACAAAATACCGCCCAGTTCTTCCCCATCAACACAATCCCTAATATCTTTGAGTTCAATAGGTAATCACAACGTTGTTCTGTTACACCCAGTCCATGCTGACTCAGTGATTCCACAACCAGCGAAACAATGTGAGGTCCCTTACCAACCTCACAATCTTGGCTGTGTTTGAGCCCATCGCTACAGCTACTGTGTCAATCCATCTCATTGAGGAGCTTCATTCTCTTTGCTGACCCTCCATTTTCCAAGTATGATGTCCTGTTAGGTAACTAACTAAGGGACGGAAGGGTTGTCAAACCCATGCCTGCAAAGGCCCCCATGGAGGAAGTTGGAAAGACATCAGGCGACCATTAGGCACCAATGGGAGATACCAAGGATTGAGCATGCTCATAACTCAAGGCCCCCAGGCCCAGGTAAAACCAATAGCTTGGGCACACCCACATTAGGTACATCACACAGGTGGGCCTAACTCAGCCAATGGGCTCGACCAATACCACAACCACGCCTCCCCAGCCAGAGGTTTGAAATATCCTGGCTGTGGGAAGGCCTCTCTCTCTTTTACCCTGCTCCTGGTCAGCAGCAGATGGAGGGTGAGGGTCTCCCTCCCCCACACAGGACCACTTGCACCCACTCCGGGCCTACTCAGGGCCCACAGCCTCTTGGCCCACATGCTCTTAGCCTCTAGGTTTCTTGGGCTTCTGGCCTCCTGGCATCCCCCGCAGTTCTGCACGTTTGGGTGTCCTTTTCCACGTGATTGGTTGTGCCCAGTTGTGAATGCCAGCGTGGCTTCCACGAAGCTTGGCACGCTTTCCAGAAATAGCACGTACCCTTTGGAGACTGTAAAACCTGAAACTTGTCCTGACCTTGATAAAAATTCACTTGGATCACACAATGTGCTTTGGCGTGAATTCTTTCAGCATGTGAACAGAGGTATAACCACTCCAGAAACTGAACACTTCTCTAGGGGCTGGTCATTCTTGACAACGTCAAAAGCACATGACACGAAGTGTCGCCATCTTTGCTTTCAAGGAGCATTCTGGTTGTACTTCCTCCCAGAGAGAGTTGTTTGTTCTTCTGAACCAAACTCAAACCCACTACTATTGAGGCTATTCCAACCCACAGTGGCCTATATAGCAGCGGTTCTCAACCTGTGGGTCGCAGCCCCTTAGGGGGTCGAACAGCTCTTTCACGGGGGTTGCCAGATTCATCACAGTAGCAAAATTACAGTTATGAAGTAGCAATGAGAATAATGTTATGGTTGGGGCCAGGGGTCGCTATTTTACCTTGGGAGGTCAGGGAAAGCCTTGCTACCCCACACCCTGTACCCTCCTCGCTGCTTTACCTTTTCAGTAGCATTCCTCAGTGTGATTCACAAGCACTTGTTGTCTGCCTCCAGCCATTAGGAGGGAAGCTCCAGGAGAGGAGAAGCACTTGCCTGTCTTCTTCATGGCTGTGTCCTTACAGCCTGCAATAGCTTCTGCACAGGGCAGGCACTCGCTATTTGCGAAATGAATGAAAGCATGAGTATTGAATCCATTCATCTGGCCCAGACTGCACTCTGTCAGCATCTCTCCTATCCAAAGACCCATTGCTCTGGGCATTCTTGTTCACAACTGTGGTCACTAAGCTGCATTTGTCCTTGCTGGAATGCCAGTGCTTTCAGGGAGATGGGTTTCCTTGGTGAGGCAGGAGATGTCACCTATTTAGCTCAGAAAGCTTGGTCTATTTCAGGTGCTACTAAGACTTCAACGCACGTGGAACTTCCCATGCCTACTCCAAAGAGGATTCTGTGTCCATATACTTAGCTAGGGAGCCAAATCTATTTACCTGCCTCTTTTCATAAGCTGTGGTCAGTTGATTGGAAGCAGCCTTCATTTTACTTTATTTAGTATATTCTAAGGCATTGGCAATTCATTCAAACAAATATTTATTGAGGGCCTATTCTGTTCAAAAGGAGCCCTAGTGGTAGGGAGGGTTATGTGTTGGGCTGCTAACCCAAAATCCAGCAGTTCAAACCACCTGTTGTTCCACAGGAGAAAGATGAGGCTTTCTACTTCATAAAGATTTACAGTCTCAGAAACCTACGGGGGCAGTTCTACTCTCTCCTATAGGGTTGTTATGAGTTAGAATTGACTCGATGGCAGAGAGTGAGTGAGTGAGGGAGGGATTCTGTTCTAGGCGCTGTTTTGGGTACTCCATCTGGGTTCCTGGTTTTACCTGGTAATTTATTACGCAGCCTAATGTTGATGTTGTGACAAAGATGATGCTTTTGCTTGCTGCTCTCTGGAGCCAGTCTTACACTGATGTCCAGGATCATGATTCAGTAACAGGCCAGCAGTCCTGTAGGTTGCCATCATTCCAAAAAGCCAGCACCAGCTGACTGCCCTAGTGTCAAGAAGAGACAAAGACACAGCTACGCTCACTTGATTGTGTTCCACTTTGGAACACTGTACACACCACAGAGACACACTGATATATCTCACCAAAGATACATCTATTCTCCTCACATGCACACACACACACACACACAAATGCACACTCACAAAACTACACCTATTTTCCTCACACTGACCACAGTCCCAGCTATCCCTCCTCTCTCATACCATACTGGTACCCATTCAACACATCACCCAAAAAACCAGCTCTTCCACCGTATCCCAGTACCTCCATACCATGCCAACATCCTCTTTCCAACATCCTCATTCCACACAAGCACATGCACATCAGACACAAAACAGGCACTGCTGTTCCCCAACAGTGTGCTGTTTACACACTGAGGTTGGTTGTTGTTAATGGCCATCCAGTTGGTTCCATCTCACTGTGACTCTCTGGAGAACCAAAGGAAACACTGTCTGGTCCGGTCTTATCCTCACAATTGTTGCTAGGTTGGAGCCCATTGCTGCAGCCACTTTGCCAATCCATCTCCTTGATGGTTTTCCTCTTATTTGTGGACCCTTCACTTTATCAAGCATGATGTCCTCTTTCAAAAGCTGATCTTTCTTGATGTCCAAAGCACGTTGTATTACTCTGGGTACTTTAGAGAAACAAATCCACAGAAACTCTCGAGTTTTACATAAAGGGTAAGTGCACATCAAGAAAACATCCCAACCCAGTGCTGCACAAACCCACAAGTCCATCATTAACCCATATGTCCGACACCAATCCACAAAGTCCTCCTCCATCTCACAAAACACACACTATGATGCTGACTGCAGGAGGAAAGCCAAATCAGTGAACGTGTAGGCATCGCAGCGCTGGCAGGGGTCTCCATACGGCTGCTCCAGCACCCAGGGCTGCATCGGGGTAGGTCCATGCGGTTTCTCCTCAGGGATGTCTTGCAGGAATGAGCCTTGCCAGCTGAAGCAGGAACTGGGGAAGGCAGCTGCACCCTGGTCCAACCATCACAAAGCAAGGGACCTGAGAACTAGAAAGGCGAGGCTCCCCAAGCTATTTATCCCTCTGTCCTTCAATTAACCCCACATGTGTTTATCGGCCAGGTTGGCACAATAAACTACCTCACACGTGAAGTGAAACCTCACCATCCTTACTTCTAAGGAGCCAGGCTTGTACTTCTAAGACGGGGATTTGTTCTCCCGACGGCCCATGGTATTTCCGATATTCTTCACCAGCAACATAATCCAAATGAATCGATTCTCCTGCGCTCTTTCTTATTCATTATTCAACTTGCACATGGAGAGGAGGCAATTGAAAATACCCTGGCTTGAGTCAGGGACACCTTAGTCCTCCGAGTGGCATCTTGCTCTTCAATACTCTGAAGAGCTCTTGGGCAGCACACTTCCCCAATGCAGTACACCGTTTGATTTCTTGACTGCTGCTTCCGTGAGCATTGACTGTGGAGCCACGCCTAATAAAACCCATGGCAACTTCAATCTGTTCGCTGCTTATCATGACCATGTTGCCTATTGGTCCAGTGGCAAAATTTTTGGTGTTCTTGACATTGAGTTGTGATCTATACTGAAGGCTGCAGTCTGTGATCTTCATCAGCAAGTGCTTCAAGTCCTCCCTGATTTCAACAAGCAAGATCGTATCATCTGCATCCCACGGGTAATAAGCCTTCCTCCAACACCGATGCCACATTCTTCTTATAATCCAGTTTCTCAGATTATTTGCTCAGCACACAGATTGAACAAGTATGATGAAAGGATACAACCCTGACACACACCCTTCCTGGTTTAAAACCACGCAGTGTCCCCTTCTCCTTGTTCTATTCCAAAGACTAACTGTTGGCCATGTACTGGTTCTGCACTAACACAATGAAAGGTTCTGGAATTCCCATTCTTCTGAATGTTATCCATGGTGTGTTATGTACATGTGCTGCCAAAGCAAGCACGCTCCATAGTGTGTTATGATCCAAACAAACTGTTTAATGCCTTT